GTGTTCTGCTTTGCATGTCAGAGGAGGAGGTTCATGGTGTGGTTTGTCTCACTCTGATGTCCTTAACATTGATCACTTGATTAAGGTGGTGCCCGCCGTTTTTTTCCACAGTCGAGTGGCTACGCCTTCCTTTGTAATCAGCCAGGAATCTGTGGGGAGTTAGTTTGAGACCATGTGACTATCCTGTTCCTCATCAAACTTTCACTCTTTAACGTTAGCCTCCACTGATGATTCGCCACTGAAACAAGTACTATGATGGTTGCCGAATCTTACATTTTTTTTTAATTTTTCTTTTCAAATTGAAGTGTAGTTGATTTACAATGTTAGTTTCAGGTATATTACAGCATTCTTGGGAGGATTCAAAGCAAGTTATATATCAAAGGACCTGCACTTACAAGTTAGAGTTCAAGGGAAATAATGTTATATGTCAATGACATCTCAATAAGCCTGGTGGGGGGAAAAGGGAAACTATCCCTAGGAAGCAACATAAGACGTGAACAAAGATTTGGGTACAAAGATTTTCATGACAACATTACTTCTAAGAGCAAAACTTGGAAAGTCAAGCAAGCACTGTAGCAAATTGATACCAAGAAAAATGAGGCGCTCATTTAAATCAGGTGTTTTTGAAGAGTTTTTTTCACTCTAGAATGCTAATAAGATGCTAAATGCAATTTGGTATCCGGACTTGGATCCTAGAATAGAAAAAATGATGTCAGTGAAAAAGCTGGTGAAATTCAAATCAAGTCTGTAGTTGAGTTGACAGCAATGTGCCAATATTAAATTCTTGGTTTTAATAAACGTATCATGGTATGCAGGCTGTTGTTAGGGGGAGCTGGGCTATGCCATCTTTGCAACTTTTCTGTGAATCTAAAATTATTCCAAACGAACAGCTCCGTTTAAAAAATTGACTTGGGACTGATGGATCTGTTCATTATCTGATTTCTGGTGATGGTTTCATGAATGCATGTACACAATTGTCAAAACATTTTAAACTATGCATATTAAGCATGTGCAATTACTGTATGTCAGTTATACCTTAATCAAGCTTTTTTTTCTTTTAAGAAAAACTATTTGGTAAACTCTCAATTATGTTAAAATATAGGCATAGGAAAAATACTGGACTGAAATATATCAAAATGTCCATGAATATTGGTATCTGTAGTTAGTGGGATTGTAGATGATTATCATTTTTATAATTTGCTGTAGTTTCCAAATTCCCTGTAATGGACATGCAAGACTTGAATAAACAGAAGGAACCACTATTCTTAAAAGGGTGGTTTGTAACCATATAGCTTTGCTTCCTTGTCTAAAGCATCTGGCTCCTGGTAAGAGCTGAGTGCTATTCCCCGCCTTTGCTCATTAAGACAATGCAAGTAAATAAAACCTGAAATAAGAAGAAAATCTCTCACAGCTGAGGCCCCTCAGATTGCCTGGTAATAAAGAGCCTGAAAATCTGCACATAGTGATGGAGAAGGATCGACATCCCGGAGCAGTGGTCCTCAAAGTCCCCTGCGTGTGTGCGGGTTCGGGGTTACTCGTGAACGTGCAGATCCCAGGCCCCACCAGCAGCAGCTGCGACTCGGTGGGTCTGGGGTAGCGGGTGACCGGGAATGTTTGCCCAGCACCTCAGGTGAATCTGACCCAGGTGGTGGAGATCAAGGCTCTGCCCTGGGGCCCGAGGGTCTGCCCAAGGCTCCATCAGCTGTGGGCCATCTTAATCCGCCAGGCTTAAGCCCTCCCGGCTTGGCCCTTCCGGATCTCCCACAGACCCAGGAGGAGCTCCCTGGAAGCCGGAGAGGGGAGTAGTCCCTTTCTCTCCTCCGTCCACAGGGGGACATGGGTGGGGCAGGGGCAGCCCTGGGGGCCTCAGATGTGTGTCCATGCCCTTGAGGGGACCCAGCCCCTGACATTTCACTCAACTCTGGGGATGAGACTGACGGGTAGAGGGTTGGGCAGAGAGGGGAAGCCAAGAGCAGTGGGAAGGCAGCAATGGCCGAGGGGATGAAGGCTGACCTGTGCACCTGATGGGGAAGCAAAGGAGGAGCCCTGGCCCCTGTGGTGTCGCAGGGATGGACGGGCAGAATCGCTGGGAGAGGGACAAGGGTCTGGAGGCTACGTCCTGGAGCGAGGCTTTTTAAGCTGCAAGCTCCACACTTGCAGAGAGTGGAGGGGAGCGAAGAAAGGAGGGCAGCAGCCCTGTCCCTTCATCCCCTCCGCTGGCTGCGACCTAATTAGGAAGCAGCTCCTGACACCGCTGTGCTGGGAGCAGCCGCCCCCTCCCAGGCAATAACTCAACCTGGGAGACAGGTTTCTGCGTCCCCAGCTCCTGCAGCACCTGCGCCTCCGCTTGGCTCCCCTCATGAAGGCACGTGTTGTCCTTCCCAGTGAATCATTAGAGAGTCACCTTTCCCAAGAGGAACCTCTGATCCATCCTGCTGAAGCCTAGCTGGGGAGGGAGTGGGGCCCCAGGCGGAAATCTGGTATCATAAGTCAAAGGAGAGGAGAGTGGGCTTCCTGTTGGTCAGCAGGCGTGGAGGTGGGCACCAGAGAATCCAGATAATGGACGGTTTTCATGGTCTAGTGGGGGCAACTGACCACCCAAATATAGCCTGAGAATGAGAAAAGGGGTAGAGCTGCCTGAACAAGGGCCCCAAGTCCAGCCTGGAAGGTCAGGGAGGGCTTCCCGGAGGGGGTGGACAAGCAGGGGTTTGCCCCTTGAAAGCAGAACTCAAAGGTGTTAGCGGGCCAAGGGAGCAGCGTTAGCTACATGTCATTGGGGAATGAGGGGCAGGTGGAGGTGGAGGGAATCCTTCTAGAGCCAATGGTTCTCAAAGTGTGGTACCTGGTTGACGGTTAGAAACACACATTCTCAGGCCTTGCCGAGACCTGCTGACAAACGGAGGGTGGGGCCCTGCAATCCGGATTTTAACAAGCCCTCCAGGTGATGCTCATGTGGGGGCTGAGGGGCAGGGGTTGGGTCTGAGAAGCACTGTTCATGGTTACGTAGCAACGGAAACATCACAGCTCAGATAATCCCACCTGCCTGCCTAGACCACGGAAGGTCTGGGCGTTTCAGGGTCTGAAGCTTTTATGACCTGGTGGGCCTCTTTCAGAAAAGATGACAGAGTCATAGATGTAAAATCAGTTACTGAGTCTTGGAAGGGGCCTTTGGAAGTGAGGGAGGCTGAGACGTCAGTAGTCCGTGTTGTCTTTGCCCCTGGTTGGGTGGCGCTCAGTGTCAGCAGAGGGGAGGCAGATGCTGGGAGCAGAAAGCCCCCAGGACCCTCTGTCCGGCTCCCCCCCCCGAATGGGTAGACCTGTGGTTTTGCCCCCGCGCAGAAATTATGCACAGCTGATGGAGCTGGCTAGGAAGACCCTCTGCTGCTTGCTTGGCACAGGCTGTGGGCTCAGTAACCTGCATCACTCTTATTAACCATGGCTTGCCAGCCACCCCCACCCCCGCTGCCCAGGGTTTGATTTAGGATGTCTGGAGTGGGGCCCCAGAGTTTGCCACACAATCTGCAGGGCCGCTTGTTCAAATGAAGAATTTCAAGATGCTGACAGCGGGGCATGAAGCCAAGCAGCAGTCCCTTCTGAGCGTAGGACCCGGCGTGAACGCACAGCCTGCACGTCTATGAAGCTGGTCCGCCTCCCGGTGATGCTGTGGGTCTGGGGCTTGCCCTTAAGAACGACTGCCTTAGTGTCCCGAGTAAGAAAGATAAGAGTGGGATTTCTGGAAATTGAAACAGACATTAGAACGGTCTCTTCCGATGTATGGCTTAATATTTCACAGCATACAGAACATCATTACCTTTCATCCTTGTAATTTTTTATTAACAGCCGGGTGAGGTGGTAAGCATCTTTTGTGCGTTCCCCTCATGAAGGGCTCTCATCAACCAAGGAAGTGCAGGCAGACCTCCGAGATTGTGGGTTGGGTTCCAGACCACTGCAATAAAGCAAATAGCGTGATAAAGCGAGCCACACACATTTCTTGGTTTCCCAGTGCAGAGAAAAGTTATATTTATACTGTACCGTCATCATCTACTATGTGTCCTGTAGCAGCTCTTTAAAGACAATGTATATAACTTAAGTTACTTTATTGCTTAAAAAATGCTAACCATCATCTGAGCCTTCAGCAAGCCATACTTTTGCAACAGTAACATCAAAGATCACAGATCACCCTAACAAAGATAATAATGGTGAAAAAGTTTGAAATGTAAGAATTACCAAATGTGACACACAGAGACATGAAGTGAGCAAATGCTGGGGTGGGGAGGGGGACTAGCGCCGATAGACTTGTTGGATAC